CTTTGTCTTCAGCCCAGAGTGGAATCTTTGTTTTTAATTTCCTCTCCATTTTCAAAGGTGATGAATAAATCTGGACTCATCCATAAATCATTTCTATAGCAGACAAATGGCTCTTCCTCACGCAGGGAAACTAAAATCACAAAATCTCAAAAACCCTGGCTATTGTACTAAAGTCAAAAGTCTTTAGAGACAAGCGGGAAGACGTATTAAAAACCAAAAGGTCACTTGATCTCGTTGCTAAATAAAATTTCTCAGGGCTTTTTTCCCCCAAATCAAAGACACATTTCTAAAAACAAGACGCCTCCAGGGCACGGGCTGCCAGCCTGGCTCCCTGTCCCCGGATGGCCTCAGAGACAAGGCCGTCACTGTCCCCTGTTCCTGCAGGCTCCACCTGCAGAACAGGACAGAGGCCTTCTCTTCGGGCTCCCACCCCAACTCCTCACTCTCGGCTCCACATGTGGAAAGAGACAGGGAAAGAAACATTTTCCTTCTGACCTCAGGCTCAGTGACAGGGTGTCTTGGCCTTTACTTCTGCCCTCAGGGTATATATGCTACAAATGGTCACTTTCTTCTCATAGATTCCCTTCCTTCTGCTTCCCCCCTCGTACCTTCTTCTGAGATCCTTCCAGCCACCCATCACTTCTCTACAGACTCCAGGTGCCCCATTTTTTCCTCACAGTTGCCTTTCCCTCTATCCTCTCCCCAGAGACCACCTTTCCCCCACCTTCCTCTGACAACGCCCTCTGCCTTCATCGTCTCCTCAGACCTACCCTCACTCTCTACCCAGACCCCACTTTTCCTCTCAGATCACTTCTGCGCTCTCCCCACAAAACGTTAACTCTCTAGGTCAACCATCACCTTTCTACCCACATTCTCCTCAGCCCTGCACTGCTCTGTGCTTCACCCTCCCTGACCTGATTTCCTACCCTTCTTTCCTTCTCAACCTTCTTTTTTTTTTTCCCCAAAGATTTTATTTATTCATTTGACAGATAGAGATCACAAGTAGGCAGAGAGGCAGGCAGAGAAAGAGAGAGAGAGGAGGAAGCAGGCTCCCTGTCAAGCATAAAGCCCGATGCGGGACTCGATCCCAGAACTCTGGGATCATGACCTGAGCCGGAGGCAGAGGCTTAACCCACTGAGCCACCCAGGCGCCCTCCTTCTCAGCCTTCTTACTCTGCCCTCAAGAGCCTTTGTTCCCCACCAGCAGGCTCCTCCACCCTTAGCTTCTCCACAGCTGCTCTGCCTCCTCTCAGCCTGCCCCCAAAGTTGGCTCTACACCAGGTGCCACTTACACAGAGCCCTCCCTGGTGGAGGTTGCTTATACTCTTATGCCCCAAAGTTTTCAGGACTGGCAGCGGGGGGCGGGTAGTGTCTGCTCATCAAAGCCCAACCCAGTTCCTTCTTCCACTTCTTTCCTGTAAAAACCCTTACAACTTTGAGGCTCACGCCACTCTGCTCTATTGACCATTACCCCACCTCATATTTGTATCATCGCCTACAGACTCCAGAACAACGTACTTAATTCATCCAGGGCTTTGGTACCTAGCTCACAAGCATCCTTTTCCCTCCTCAAATCCTGCCATCATCTAGAGGGGCTGGCCAAGTCAACATCTTGACTGTCCTGTATTTCCCTCCAGCCACCCAATCCCATGGCTACGCCCTGGGCCTTGCCATCACATGGCAAACTTCACTACTCACAACTCACTACTTCACAAACCTCACTACTCAAACTTCATTATTCCACCTTTTTTTTAAAAAAAGATTTTATTCATTTATTTGACAGAGATCGCAAGTAGGCAGAGAGGCAGGCAGAGAGAGAGGAGGAAGCAGGCTCCCCACCTGTAACAGAGAGCCTGATGTGGGGCTCGATCCCAGGACCCTGAGATCATGACCTGAGCCAAAGGCAGAGGCTAAACCCGCTGAGCCACTCAGGTGCCCCATTATTCCACTTTCTGATCACACTTCTTTCATTCAACTCTTTCCAAGATATGTGCTTGCCTGACTTCACTGGGACCCCCAGTCCATAACACTTTTACACCCTCTTAGGCAGTTTAGGTTCTAAGCTCCATCATCTCAACCTTTTGCCAGGATCATCCACTTCCTTGTCCTTTGTCCTTCCATTTCATCTGCCTGATGAAACCCAAACCCGGATAGATTCAACTAAGCTCTCTGCACCCACTGCTAGATGCCTGAATACTGTTGGGGGAAAAAATACCTCCCACACAACCATGCAGACCGCTGCTGTGACACCAAATGGTCACCAACCTCATAGCTGCCCAGAAATCTGGACGCTGTTATCGTGCTCCTGTTCTCCACTCACTGAGATTAGTTCAGTCCTTTTCTGCTCTTCTCAGACCTTGCACATCATCTCCAATCCCACTCTCACTGGCTGATATCATGTCCACATTTCACAGAGAAAATAGAAACTGCCAAACAAGAATTTCCTCAACTTCCTGCTACCAAACCTACCAATATGCAGATCTCACATGCTTCCTTTTTGTCACAATGCAAGTGTCCCTCCATTTTTCTAGGTGAATTTCTCCACCTTATTCCTTTTCTGGGGGTGCTACTCTCTCAGTTATTGCCTTTTCTCTGTCATTTTATCCTTTTCCCCTTTTGCTGGGTTCATGCTAACAGCACTTCTCTCATCTGAATAAAAACTTTTGTCTTCTTCCAGCTATTGCCTTCTCCTTTTTTCTTGGGAAGAGCTAAACATCTCAAAAGTGTACTGTACAGGGACGCCTGGGTGGCTCAGTTGGTTAAGCGGCTGCCTTCAGCTCAGGTCATGATCCCAGCATCCTGGGATCGAGTCCCACATCGGGCTCCTTGCTCAGCAGGGAGCCTGCTTCTCCCTCTGCCTCTGCCTGCCATTCTGTCTGCCTGTGCTTGCTCTCTCTCCCTCTCTTTCTCTCTGACAAATAAATAAATAAAATCTTAAAAAAAAAAAGTGTACTGTACAGTTTTTACCTTGTCACCTGTTTCTCAATTCACTGTAACTTGACCTCTGTTCCCATGGCTCCACCAAAACTGCATTTACAAAGGTCACCAACAACTTCCTTGTTTCTAAATCCACCAGATTGTTTTTTCAGACCTTATTTTACTTGATTAGTCATCAGCCTTCAATACTTTCCTGCTGTGGCCGTTCTACCACTGACTACCTTACCATTCTGGACATTTCATCTCAATTAACTTTGCAGGTTCATCCTTCCTTTGCAGATCCTCAGACTAGGGGGCTTCTCAGGGCTCTTTCTTTCTTTCTTTCTTTCTTTTTTTTTTTAAGATTTTATTTATTTATTTGACAGAGAGACAGTGAGAGAGGGAACACAAGTGGGGGAAGTGGGAGAGGGAAAAGCAGGCTTTCCATCAAGCAGGGAGCCCGATGTGGGGCTCGATCCCAGGACCCGGGATCATGACCTGAGCCGAAGGCAGACGCTTAACTGACTGAGCCACCCAGGTGCCCCTCTCAGGGCTCTCTTGTAGGCCTTCTTCTATTCTTACTCCTATTTATACTTTCTGGGAAGCCCAACAAATCCATCCACTGGTGTGGCTGATGTCTATAAGGCACTACAGACCACGTTTCTATTTCCAGTTTAGGCTTATCTTGCAAGCACCAATCAGGCATATTCCAACCTCTTGGGACACTTCCACCTGGATGTGTCCCACTGTTATCTCAGACTCATCAGACCCAGAACTTACCCTCTCCTAAAAACCCTGCTACCTCTTCTTTCTGTTTGCTCAAGACAGGAATTTAGAAGTTATTCTTCATTTCTCCTACTTGCCCCACCAGGCACCCCGTCCAGTTCTTTTTAGCTCGTAAGTATCTAAAGAATCCATCTCTGCCCCTTCATTCCTGCTACCTCTCCATTCCTTAGGCCACCATAACCTTTCCCCATTACTGAAACAACTTCCTAACTAGTCTCCTTCCTTCTCCCAATCCCCAATCCATTCTCTCCATTGATCTCTCTAAAATGCAAATCTGATCATTATTCCTTTGCTTAAAGTACTTCAATGACTCTCCATTGTCCTCAGGATAAAGTCTGAGCTCTTGTCCTCACAGGTATAAAATACACTGGAAAATTTTTATCATCTACCCATAAGCTCAAAGCTGAGCTTGACATCAAAGACCCTCCAGGATTGGAGATTGTCAGGCTGAGTTTGACACCAAAGACCCTCCAAGATCCTAACTGTTCTTCCGAGTTTACTCTCACATTAGTATCTCCACTGGCCAGAAGATGCTCAAAATTTCTGGTACTCATCTCTCAGTTTCCCCTCATTGAGTTCCTGCAAGGAGTCCTTTGTCCTCCATATCCCCACGAGTCTTTCAAGGCCCAGCTCAAGACATATCCCCGTTGTTATAATTGCCCCTTCCACACTTTCTGAGACCCTTAAATCATTAGGGCCTATTCTTCTGTAGTATTTATCCCTCACACAGAGTTGGTTCATGTATGGTTTCTCTCCCTCTCCTTTTAAGACTTACGGAAGTCAAGACCAAAAGCGTAATCTTCACTAGAGCTCACCTACATAATAGGCGCTTAGTAAATATTTGTTAAATACATGGATAAATGCAAGAAAACTGTACTCTCTAGCCCCTTTATGTCCCCAACGGACAGAACATTTTGAAGACACCACTCCCCTGCCTACCCCTCACCCCACCAGCCAGAATATGCCTCAACCCACTGGATGGAGGATGGGCTGGCACGCGTCCCCTAGACCGTTTTGTATGGTTTTCTACCTCCAGCCCTCGGAGCTGCGTCTGGTAAAGGACGGTAGAGGTAGGAGATGGCGTAAGTCAAAGGGCACTGCCGTCCACCCCGTAGGATAAGACACGGTGGGGAAGGGAGACCTTCCCATTTCCAGAACACCGCAAATCTCCCGCAGACCCTCTTACCTACACGGGAGGGTGGGAACTCTTCCCGAGAGGCGTCCCGGTTGACCAATACCTGACCCAGATCACGCAAGTCAGCCAATGGCTGTGAAGCACGGCTAGAACGGGGCGGGGAATGGTTGCTAGGGCCGAGCCGTGGGGTGCCGTGAGAGGCTCGCAGAGAGACTTGGCGGTTGCTAAGCCGGGAGGTCACAGAGCGCGGCTCAGGGATTGGGCAGCGACAGGAGAGCGGGGTGGTGATTGGGCGGCGCCCAGAAGGCTCCCGGGTGAGGCGCGGGCGCGCGAGCGGGAGTTCCGGCGGAGGCCCGTGCTGAGGGCTGGCGCCTTCACCATGGCCTCGGCTGAGCTGGACTACACCATCGAGATCCCGGATCAGCCCTGCTGGAGCCAGGGTATGGAACGAGGGTCGGGTCCCATCTTGGGGAGGTAACCTGACGAGTCTCTGGGTCGCAAGCACAGCTGTGACTCCGCCCCTTTCGGAGCCCCGCCCTCTCGCGACCCGCCCCCTCACGGGGTCCTGCAGGTCCTAGACGTGGTGGGGCCCACAGAGTCCCGCCCCGCACAAGCCCCGCCCCGGAGTGGTCTCTGCGTCCGAGTCCCGCCCCTTCCCTGCGGCCTCCGCTCTGTTGGGGGCTTTTTCTGTCTTTTCCGTGGCAGTTCGCGGGTCCGTGCCTTCGTTTCTCCCTCGAAGCTGACGGCTGCCGAGGGCAGGGGCTGCCCTTCCTTTGTTTGGGGTCAGGCTTCCCACTTCCAGCCTCTCGTCAGCGGTTGTGGCTGGGGGACCCACCCACATTATTTTCCACCCACTGTTTTCCCGGGGGTCCTTGCAGAAGCCCGGGACACGGGACTCATCCCTCCCACTTTCCTTGGCAGTGGTGAACCAAGCAGTCTCTGCCGTCAGGTAGAAGTCGGTTCAGATCCCCTCTTTAGTAGCTAGATGACCTCTGGCAGTTTCCTCATCTGCAAAACGAGGCTACCCATAGTAACCCCCTTTCCAGGGCTGTTGGTTGCACAACTGAGGTAGTTTGTGTGACGGACCCAGCATAGTGCCTGGCATGGAGTAAGTACAGTTTTTAGCATTCCTCCTCCCTGGAGTCGTATCATTAAAGAGTGATGTGTGGGAGGCTCCACAAAATGAGTAGCCTGTAGAGCAGGCCTGGGTCCCTGCAGTGAGAGTTGGATTGCAGGCCCAGAGGACAGAAAGTTTGGCGCTGACTGGGAATTTTGATAGAGGAGGCTTGAGGTACTGAGCCCAACATGTCTCTCACTCCTTTGCCCACATGGCCTTTCCGCCCTCTAGTCTCACTGCCAACCGAGCAGCCTCTTGTATGGCTACTGGCGATCTTCCTTAATGTAGAGGTTTACTCTTATCACCGCTCTGCCTAAAACCCTTCAGTGGCTTCTTAGGGCCCTCAGGATAAATCAAGTTCAGGTTCCTTAAGGTGTCAGTCAAAGTCCTTTGCACTTTAGTAGCCCCTGCTTATCTCTTTGATCACAGTGTCCTTCCACTGTTCAATTTGAGTTTTATGTTCTGGCAACCCAAACTGCTTGTGATTCTCCACACACTTCTTGCTTCTCTGCCTTTACTCCTGCTGTTTCCTCTGTTGAATGCCCTTTCCCCTCTGCTGTGCCACACTGTCCCCTTGTCCTTGTCCAGTTCGTCATTGAAGGCTTAGCTCAGATGTTGTCTCCTTCAGGAGAGCCTCCCCAGCCCCTTCCCATAGCATCTTCTGTTATTGGTTGGGGTCTAGGAGGAGAGGGCAGCCCTAGGCTTCCACAGGACAGATGGCCCTAGCTCCTTAGGGCTGCGTATGGTGGCAGAGGGCTCTTGGGCTTTGGGTGTAAAAATACTTTTCAGAAGCATCAGGGAGAGATGAAGCCAGTTAATTTCTTTTTTTTTTTTTTAAGATTTTATTTATTTATTTGACAGAGAATCACAAGTAGGCAGAGAGGCAGGCAGAAAGAGAGGGGGAAGCAGGCTCCCAGCTGAGCAGAGAGCCCGATTCGGGGCGTGATTCTAGGACCCTGAGACCATGACCTGAGCCGAAGGCAGAGGCTTAACCCACTGAGCCACCCAGCTGCCCCACCAGTTAATATTCTTGCCTGTGGAGAGCCACCAGCTTTAAAGGGTTGGAGCTGCCCTCTTCGTGGCTAGGAGGGCAGATGTGCTCTCTCAGCCCACGTGAGCAGCCTGGTGGTCTTGGTTTGCCTCACTTCTATCTCCTACTGGTTTTAGGGCTTTGACAAGTTGAACCTTCCTGGGCCTCAGATTCCTCCATAACAGTGCCTCTTTCATGGGACTGTGAGGGTTTCTGAGACAGTGACTGGGTGTGTGTGCGTGGCATGTCGGTGTATCTCCTCTTCTCGTGGCTCCCCTCACTGCGTCAGGAGGTGGGGTCCTAGAATTGGAAGAAACCTCAGGGGGGGCATTTAGTCCTACTAGCATGAGGGTATTCTGTTGCTTCCAGACCCTTATCTGACAGGATGCTTCCTCCCAAACATCCTGGCCCGCTGGAGGTAACTGGGATTGTTAGAAAGCACTTCCCTTTCTTGAGCCACTATAGGCCGTCCTGTCGTTTCTGTTTTCAGTTCAGTATTTGGTGTGTCCTGGCCGCAGGTTAGTTGCTGGTGCCTGAGAAGTAACTCACACACAGGCTCCATTCAGGGAGCTATGGTTTTCAGGAGGTGGGAGGATGTATAAGCAGGTGGTTTCACAATGATGTGGTAATTGCAGGACAAGACGGTCGGGGTGGGTGCAACACAGCAAGGTAGTCTCTCTTCCTCTCTCTTCAGGAGGTCAGCTCATGCCTTCCTCACATCTCTGTTCTCCAAGAGAATACCTCTAGGGCTGTCAGCTGTCCTTCCTCCGATGTGGTTCTAAGGACGTCCTCCATCTGATTGCTTCTCTGGATCGGCTTTAGTTCATCATGCCTTTCCCTCTCAAAGCGCATGCCCCAGAGCTGGGCTGGGGGTTGTAGCCCCCCTCAGCAGGAGATAACAGCACTGTGATCCCCTGAATCTGTTTCCCATCTGCAGAGAGCTCCCTCCAGGCTGACACGGTTTCACATGGGGGTAGGCTAGGGGGATCCTGGAGACTGTCTTTCTTTTGCATTTGCTGTTTAATGGTACAGAAGTATGTAGGGCAATCGTGTTTGGTTTCTGGAATTTCTCTCCGCCATATTTGAACATGAAAACTGCGATGCCCAGCACGGCTGTGAGCTGACAGGCGAGCAGCTGCTGCTGGCATATTGTTACGCAGAAGGCAGCTGCGGATCTAGGGTTGTTCAGAGCCCAGGCTGGGCAGCCTGGATCCTTCTGCTGGGAATCCCACCAGCCAGTATCTGTGACTGCCCATGCCGGGAGAGTAGTCTGTCCACTCCTTTGCTGAAGCTGATCCCTTGACCTGGAATCTCCCTGTATCCTTCTTCCCTGACCAGTGATCCCTGTCCCCTCCTAATACTCTGTTCCTATCTCATTTTCTTGGGGAAGATTCTATTCTCTTGGCTCCCATAGCAGGGATCCCTGTGGTAGTGCTTTTGATGGTTTTGCTCACTGTTGCTAGGGCCTGGCAAGGATGAGGTGCCAAAGGACCCGAATGGAGTCACTTGGCAGCTCTGTAGGCCTGAGCCAGAGATGCTCTGACATCCCAGGCTGAGGCTAAGCTGCACCTTCTCTCAGCCAGAGATTGGTCAGCCAAGCGCTGCCCCAGGCCCCTCTTTGGCTTGCTGGCAGGCCAGGAGGCCTTCTTAACAGCATTATATTGCTCTCATGCTTAGTAAACATTTTCAGAAATAATTGATTCACAGAGTCTGGATAAGGGGCCTACCCTTTGAGTACAAGGAAGGCCTTTGGTGGTCACAAAGAGGAGAAGTAACAGGTTTATTGTGAGCCCAGGTTTTATTGTGAACCTGCTCTTCTGCTAAGCACTTGCGGGAAAAAAAAAAAAAAAAGAGTGGGGGCCAAAAAAAGAAAAGGCCACTGAACCTTCAGGAAGCTTTCACTGGCACCTGGGAAATAGTTTTGAGTGGTTTTGAACACCATGGTGGGCCCCAGTGGTTATGGTGGGCTTCTGGAGAAGAGTGGCCCACTGGACCTAGAGCTTCATAGGGCTGATGGGTAGATGGTGAGCAAAGAAAATGCAGAAGTCGGGGCACTGGGGGAGGACTGAGGTGGTCCCACAGAGCTGTCACACCAGAGAGGCCTCAGAGGCCCAGGTGAAGAGTAAGTTGGGACTTCATCTTCTCCTTGCCTTTGGGCCCCCCGTTTTTTTTTAAAACAGGAGTTTAATTTACAGGCATACCTTGTTTTATTGTGCTTTGCCTTATTACACTTCGCAGATGTGGGGTTTTTGTTTGTTTGTTTTTGTTTTTGACAGATTGAAGGTTTGTGGTAACCTTGCATCAAGCAAGTCTATGGGTGCCATTTTTCCAACAGCATTTGCTCACTTCACGTTTCTGTGTCATATTTTGGTAATTCTCATAATATTTCAGACTTTTCCATTATGATTATTTTTTTTATGGTGATCTGTGATCAGTGACCTTTGATGTTACTAATGGCCTCGTTTGGGGGTGCCACGAACCTCACCTGTGTAAGACAGTGAACTTAACCAATGATTGTTGTGTGTGTTCTAACTGTTCCACTGACTGGTCATTCCATCGTTTCTCTCCCTCTTCTGGGGCCTCCCTATTCCCTGAGAACACAGTATCGAAATTAGGACAGTTCATAACCCTACAGTAGCTTCTAAGTGTTCAAGTGAAAGGAAGAATCATGAGTCTCTCACTTTAAATCAAAAGCCGGAAATGAGTAAGCTTATTAAGGAAGGACCGTGGAAAGCCGAGAGAGGTCCTCTTGAACCAAATGGCCAAATTGCGAAGGCAAAGGAAAAGTTCTTGAAGGAAATCAAAAGTTCCACTCCAGTGAACATATGAATGATAAGAAAACAATCTTACTGCTGATGCGGAAAAAGTTTTAGTGGTCTGGATAGAAGATCAAACATTCCCTTAAGCCAGAGCCTAAATCCAGAGCAAGGCCCTCACTCTCTTCAATCCTCTGAAGGCCAAGAGGGGAGGAAGATGCAGAAGAAAAGCTGGAAGCTCGCAGAGATGGGTTCCTGAGGTTGGAGGAAAGAAGCCATCTCCATAGCATAAAAGTGTAATGTGAAGCAGCAAGTTATGGTATAGAAACCAGAAGACTTGGCTACGATCATTCGAAGGTGGCTGCACTAAACAACATATTTTCAATGTAGAAGAAACAGTCTTGTGTTGGAAGAAGCAGCAATGTAGGACTTTCATAGCTAGAGAGGAGAAGTCAATGCCTGGCCTCAAAGCTTCTAAGGACAGGCTGACTCTCTTGCTAGAAGCTAAGGCAGCTGGTGACTCTTTAAGTTGAAGGC